TATCTATCTATCTATCTATCTATCTATCTATCTATCTATCTATCTATCTATCTATCTATCTATCTATCCATTTATCTATCCATCCATCCATCCATCCATCCATCCATCCATTCATCCATCCATCCATCCATCCATCTATCTATCTATCATCTGTGTCTGTCTGTCTGTCTATCTATCCTATTTATCTATCATCTCTCTCTCTCTCTCATTTGTTTCTTTATCTATCTATCTGTCTAGTCTAGTCTAGTCTAGGGAAGAGAAGGACCAGGGGAGACAGGAGAGCAGCCTTCCAATATTTGAGGGGCTGCCCCAGAGAGGAGGAAGGGGGTCAAGCTATTCTCCAAAGCATCCGAAGCCCATACAAGGAAGAATGGATGGAAACTGACCCAGGAGAGATTCAACCTGGAAATGAGGAGGAATTTTCTGACAGGGACAACAATCAACCGACGGAACAGAAGTTGCGCTCGGAAGTTGTGGGAGCTTCATCCCTTGAGGCTTTCAAGAAGAGTTTGGACTGCCATCTGTCAGAAATGGTGTAGGGTCTCCCGCTTGGGCAGGGGGTTGGAGTAGATGACCTACAAGGTCCCTTCCAACTCTGATTATCTGTTATCTGTTAACCTGTTCCTTCCGGTGACATCCTCTCCCTCCATCCTCTCTTTGCAGGACCGAGTTGCACTTCAACCACCTGGCTGAGAACAACGTCTTTGGCATCGTGCCGCTGTCCAAGGTACCTGGGGCTGTTTGGAAGGGTGGCATTTTGCCTGGACCGCTCAGGAGCAGGACAAGACCTGAGATTGATGTTGGCCAATATCTAAGAAGCCTAAAAATCTACGGAGATTCTCCAAGTCATCCAGGTCACAGTTGTCCAAAGGTTCTTTTTTTTTTTTTTCAGGAGGCAACTGCACTTTCTGTTTTTCTTTTTCTTTTGAAGATGTTTCACTTCTAATCTAAGAAGATTCTTCAGCTCCGGCCAGATGGAGGGGAAGGGAAGGATTGATACTCCTTGCAGACTAAGCTGGTCATTTGCATCCTTTTTAGAGGGTCGTTGAGGCCCCTTGGAGGTTTATCTGTGTCCTCAAAGTCTTTTGAAGAGGTTTCGCTTCTCATCCAAGAAGCTTCTTCAGCTCTGACTGGAGATGTGGGGAATGGAAGGATGGATATCCCTTGCAGACAGCTGGTTATTTGCATCCTTTTTAGAGGGTCGTTGAGGCCACTTGGAGGTTTGTCTGTGTCTTTTCGGGGTCACCTGAGTGGTGCAAATGGGTGTGGAACTGCTGGAAGGGACTGTGTTGTAGATTGGAAATAGATGAGGTTGTGTCCCTCTTCTCCTCACAGGAGGCTCCACACCCATTTGCACCACTCAGGTGACCCTGAGGACACAGACAAACCTCCAAGCGGCCTCAGCAACCCTCTAAAAAGGATGCAAATGACCACCTTTGTCTGCAAGGACTATAAATCCTTCTGTTTCCCCACCATTTCGGTCAGAAACCTCTTGGATGAGAAGCAAAACATTTTCAAAGGAAACCAGGAAGTCTAATGGCCTCCTGAAAAAAAATCACCTTTGGGACAAACACAACCTGAACGATGGAGACTCTCTACAGACATTTAGCTGTGGAATTTGGGATGAACTTTCTTGGAACGGTGGTGGGAGGAGGGACGGATTTCCAGAGGAAAATTGCAGGCTGCAGGAAATTGCAGACTCAGGTGACCCTGAGAAGACACAGATAAACATCCCAGTGGCCCTCAATGACCCTCTAAAAAGGATGCAAATGACCAGCTTAGTCTGCAAGGAGTAGAAATCCTTCCCCACCATCCAGTCAGAACGGAAGAAGCTTCTTGGATGGGAAGCGAAACGTCCTCAAAACCAGAAAGTCCAGCGGCCTCCTGAAAAAAAAAAAGCACCTTTGGGACGATCTTGTCTGGCTGAATCTGTGTCTTCTCCCCCCCGCATGGCACCAACTGGCCTCTCCGCTGGAACAAAATCCGGCACCAAATGAGCCGGCTCGCTCTGCGTTTGCCGAGTTAAGTTCTCTTTCCCCCCCTGTGTCTAAAAGGGGTTTACGCTGAGTTTTAATTAAAGGCTTATCTGCTTTTTTTTCCATCCCCGCCGGGAGAGGGGATTGGAGGGAGATCTCCCGGCCTAACCTGGCTCTAGCGGAGTAACCGTCTTGGCATCCTTGCAGGCGGCGCTACCAAAAAAAAGGCTGGTGGTGTTGTTTTTTTTACAATCGTCTTCCTGATTTTTTAAAAAAAATTTCCTTCTCTTTGGCTGCAGCCGGAGGAGAAACAGAAAGCGGCCCAGCAGTTCAGCAAACTGCAAGCAGCCATGAAGGTGATGGGTATCTCTGGTGAGGAACAGAAGGCCTTCTGGCTCGTCCTGGGAGCCATTTGCCACCTGGGGGCGGCTGGAGCCACCAAAGGTACGTGGGTGGGGGGGAATGACACCCACGTAGCATTTTAGAAACCATCCCACAAGGCTCGGAGACTGAACCTTCACCCTCCTCCTACACCCGAG